ACTGAAAGATATTACCTCAACCACACCTTGTCTCTCTAATATCCTTGAACCAACATGGCTGAAACTATACTGCATCCACCAATCATCATTTTCTGTAAAAATTAAGAATCTGAATAAAGGTAAATTAAGCTATATAATTGCTTAAATAAAGGCATATAGATAAATTGTATCCTCCTGATTAACAAAAAGAAGTACCTAATTTTAGTGTGAAATTTATAGTTGCAAACATATTTTAATGGTTACCAACCTTTATTGGTAATGAACCTTTGCTTAGCAAAATAACTAATTTATTTTAATTGTGATTTGTAGTTGTACTTTTTAAAGTTGCTTATTTAAATCATGATTTACAGTGATAATTTGAAACTTTTTGATTTAAATCAGTGGTTCTCAAACTGATTTGATTGTTTCCCCCTTCTTTGTGTCTGAGTAGTTTAGGCTCCCCCCACCACACAAGTACATAGACAGTTTTAAAAAAAATTCAACATGCAGCTCTCACTAAATATTAAAAACAGTAAGGCATTGATTCAAACAGAGCCACCGATCCACTGTAATAAGAGCAAAAGCAAAACTGTGATTGTGGTCAATGCTTACAATTAAATGTGCACACTGCGTCATAGCAAATGAGGACCTGATATGTCTGGAAGAATCAGCTTTGCTAGTTATTCATTGCTGTGGGTAAAATGTGCAAAATTATGTTTTTTTTTTCCCCCCTAAAGCTTCTTGCCCCTTGCCCCCCAGTTTGACCACCTCTGATTTAAATCAATCCGTCCTGCTGTGGCAAACCCTTATGTACTTGCTTTGGTTTATGAGGGATTCTTGGCCATTAACACTAGCCTGTATATCAGGGGTGGGCAAACTTTTTGGCCTGAGGGCCACATCAGGGTTCTGAGACTGTATGGAGAGTAGTACACCATAAGTAGCACATTCCTAAGGGGAGCAATTTAATACACTACACCTGGGTAGGGAAGGCTGTATCTCCCCAAACAGCCTGGCCCCTGTCCCCATCCATCCCCTCCCACTTCTTACCCCCTGACTGCCCCCCCTGAGAATCCCCGACCCATCCAACCCCCACTGTTCCTTGTTCGCTGACCGCCCCCTCCCAGGACCACCTGTCCCTAACCACTGCCCCCCCGGGAGCCCACCTCCTATCCAACCCCTCCTGTCCCCTGAGTGCCCTATCCCCACCCCTGCCCCCTGATTCCCATGCCTATCCAACCCCCCTGTCCCCTGACTGTTCCCTGGGACTCCCTGCCCCTTATCCAATCCCCCCGCTCCCCACCCCCTTATCATGCTGCTCAGAGCACCAGGACTGGCAGCTGTTAAGTAGTACACCATAAGTTGCACATTCCTACAGAGAGCAATTTAATACACTACACCTGGCTTCTCTCACAGCCATGCTGCCTGGCAGGAGCAGGCAGCCCTGCTGCCTAGAGCCCTGGTAGCATGGCGAGCTGAGGCTGCAGGGGAAGGACTGGGAGCTTGCCCACCTCTGGTGTGAGTAGCATCCTCCTCATCTGTTTTTCCCCTTTACTCAAAGTTGCAAAGGAAGAACAGAAACCAGAAAGAGAGGGAGGACTCAGAACTCTCCAGCTCTAGAACTTTCACTGAATCAGTCTGATGGAGCGAAGGGGGATTTCATCCACTTCTCCAGAGGAACCATCTCAGCATTTCCTCTTCAATTCCAGCTGCTCTGTGTTGTATTTTCATTTTCTTCACCCAACAAGGTGCAGCATTATTAATGTGTTTTGTATTAGCACATCATGTAATGTATGCATATATTATTATTTTTTAAAAGTCACAAAATGAAAGTGCTTACTCCTGTCAACTCTCTCTTATCTTAAGGTCTGCGTTTACATTCTTATCTCCGGTTCAGTCTTTGGATGTTTTGGATCTCATATTTGCCTTCTCTCTGTATATACTTGTATACATATCCTCCTGAGCACTTATTTGGCTGGCAACCTGGAAATTATCAGGCATCTAAGGGTTAAAAGCACAGGGGTTTGTGTCCTCCACGGCAAAGTCTATTTATAACAGACCTGTGGTTTCAAGGAAGGAGGGAAGGTTATATGAAGACAAATGTGACCTTTTGGCTATGGCAACAGTCTACTGGCTAATTAAGAGAGTTTCACATCCTATGAAATAAGCAGCTTATAAAATTCAGGTTTCCTGAGAGATTGTACTCCAGTGACTTGAAACTGAATAAGACAATCAAGATAGACAGCTAAATTCATAGAATTTATGAGGCAAACATACAATAAATTGGTTAGTCTCTAAGATGCCACAAGTCCTCCTTTTATTTTTGCGAATACAGACTAACACGGCTGCTACTCTGATACCTAATGCAATATTCAGTATTAAAGCACAAGATACTTCAGACTTGATAAATCCAGTGGACGTAGTTAACAAGGTAGAAAGTGTCAGGTTTACAGTTTTAAAATCTTAGCATTTATTTCTAAATAGCAAACCAAAAAGTTGACCCGCCTTCTTTATTCTATGTACAAATTAAATTAAGACAAAATTTGTTGAGCTAGCTGAACAACGAATTATTAACAAACAACCAGTATAAACAAAATAACTGATGAGAAGATTATTTTTCTGCTGATGGAATATCCATCGGCCAATTACAATTTCTCTAGTGTATTTGTTTGTTTAAAAAAAAAACACATAAAACTGTCAAATGCTTCTGAACTTCTACGAATTGATTAGATAAAGTATGGGAGTGTTTGAATTCTGCCAAGTAAGTGTGTGTCTCTGTTCCCTGATTTGCTCTGTAAGGAAACACTTCCAATATAAATACTGGTGAATTTAAAATTTGATTTCTGCAACTTTGAAATGCACTTTTGTAAATATTTGTGCCACTCACGTTCAATTGGATAAATGTTCACAGAAAGCAATCACAAAGAGTTCACAGCATAGTTAAAGTGAATTAATTTAAAACTTTAAATTCAGATTACTGAGCTTCCCCCCACTCCCAATTCACCTGGTGGTGTTCGCTACACAATCTGCCTGAACATTTTGTAATGTTCTCTGCTACACACAAGATAGCACTGGGCAGGAAATTGAATTTTTATTACTAAACAATCACAGAATACATGCTTTCTGTACTATAAAGATGCCAAAATATATATTAACATTGTACCGGTTCTCAGCCAATGGACTGTGACCTCCAAGTAGGTCAGCAGCGGTTGTCTGAGGCACAGGATATCACAATGGATATCACAATCCTATTACCTGTGAAGTAGATTGTTAAAGGAGGAATAACATCCAGAAACCATGACTGCTAATTCCTATGACATCTCCTTTGAAGTACTGGGAGAGGCACAAAAAATTCCTGTATGTACCTAAGGAGGACTGGTTATAAATGGGATTATGATATAAAGAAGAATACAATGCTGTGATTTCTATAGTAATTACTCCTCTCCATTCATTTTGATCCCTAAACTGCGTTTTATTTCAAAACTTCCTTTTCCATTTCAAGTAAGTGATGCTATAGCATATCGTTCCCAGCCACAGGGACAGATGGCTTTATCAAGAGTTCTTTATAAAATGCTATCTCTAGTCATACCAAATAGATAATTTGATACAGTCTAAGTAAGGCTACAATGAGACTATCAAATGGAACAGTAATTCTTTAAAAAGTAGATTCCCTCTACTGAATGTGATTTCTAAATTACAATATATGTTCAAGTCCACTATTTAATAGGAAGCCAATGAATATTTTGGATTGACTGACCAAGATTTGTGCAGTTTAAAATATATATTTGGATATAAATGATCCTATGAAGATTCAGAGATGGGACTGAAGTCATTTTCAATACCGTGGCACACAAAGGCAAAATATTCTTATAAAGGCTCACATGTAAACAGTTCCTTGTCTGATTGGTAGACTACTTAATTCACTGAACTAAAGCGTACGGTATGTGGAATTATGACCTAGGAATGGGATTGGATGATTAATCTGCATATAGTAGTAAATTCGGTTCCTTTTTAAAGCCAAATCTCTTCCTGAGCCTGCTGCTGCCTTAGTAACACACTTCCTCAAGCTGAGGGTGCGGAGGAAGTCAATGACATGGCCACACAATTAACGAAGAAGTAAACATTTCCTTAATCCCTTCTAAGCATAGATTATAAAGTAGATCTATTTTCTTCAGGTAGATTTAAGGCAGTATATCATAGTGAACAGTGACCTGCCACACATGAAATACAACACCCTTCCTTATGCCAAATGGTAGTGTGACAGTTGGCTCTTAATGCCTAGGCCTAAATTTTCAAAACCCACTAGTGATTTGGGGTACCTCAATTTCAAAGTGGCCAATCTGAGTCACTTTAAGTGGCCTGATTTTCAGAAAATGAGCACCCACCCTATGAAAATCAGATCCATTAAAATATCTCAAGTTGGATTCTTTAAAAATGAGGTACCCAAAATCCCTAGTCACTTTTGAAAATGTAGGCAACAAAAACTGACATTAGATACTATAAACCCACTGCTGCGAAAATCACACACATGACCATTTACAGGATTGGGCCATATCTGTATACACTTTTGCTAAGCAATTATCCTTTTATTAATTAATCATTTGATCTGTTTCAAAATATACTGTATATTAAAATTTCATGATTTCCTAGAAAAATCTTTAGAGGTAAAATATGTAAGACAGCATCTTTAAATATTTTTAAACTGTCTCATGTAGCTTTTTATTCTGACTAATTGCTCACAAGTAAAGGACGGTTACAGGTTCCTTATAACATTTAAGCCATTTTTCTGATTATGTTGGGATTCATGGGTTGCTTTGAGACAACCTACTTACAGTACTTGATGCCATATTTAAAACAGTCTTAGAAATAAGCTTCATATAAAACATATTTTGTAAAAAAGTATAAATTGTACAGTGTTGCAACACAACAAAAAACTAGTAGCTACAGGCTGAGAGCTAATCCTTATTTTGTATGTTTTTTTAAAAATATTTCATTAATAGATACATTATAAGAGTTAAACTCACCAATGCTTGCAGTTTAGGACAGTGAACAGAAAGTTGTATCAATGTGTTATCGGTTATCTAGAGAAGAAACCAAACAATTGGCTACATAAATGCAAAGTTATAGACTGGCTTATACATAATAATAGAGCTGACTAGCTGAAAAAAATCCACTTTGTTCAAGTAGCTTAACATGTACACTGAGGTTTAATTTTATTCCATTCATACCCTTCTGATCTATAAACCCATAAAGAGGATAAAAAATAAAGTCTTCCCCTTTTCCCAAATTTTATCTGAACAGATGGATGAAGAGCTTAAAACATGGTAGCTTTCAGGAAAACAGTCACTACATGCTGAATTGAACTGAGTCTACCACCAAGCTATTTGGATAGATTTAGTTCACCTTGCCAATTGTCAGAGAAGACGTGAGATGAAAAAAAACCCGCCACCCTTTTTCCAACAAAGTGAGTTTTGTAGACCTTCTTAAAGGTCCAGTACACTCTGCCACGTTTTGTTCCTTTGCTCATTTTTATCATTTGATACCATAAACAACAGGTTTGTAACCCAATCCCTACATCAAAGTTAGGCATTTCTCTCTGCCAGATGAAGGTTCTGAAATAAACTGGTTTATTAGACACTTCTCTGGGAAATGGATAAATGTTTGTAATCACCTTTTTTTGAATTCCCCTTTATACAGACCTCCCAATAATTATCTGCATTTACTATCAGAAACAAAAAACAAAAAAATCCACAAAGCACTGATGTTCTGAATGGCATTACAGGTTCTTATAATGGACTTATGATGAATACTCCTTGTAAAACTGATTCTCACCAGAATGCACTCTTCTAAGTCCATCTTTTCCAGTTCATGGCAATTCTAAAAAATTAAAATAAAACAAAAAAATACCACAAGTAAGAGGAAGGGTGGCAGTTTGATCTTGAATTCTAACAGATGGTCCTAACCGCATCACGATTAATACTGGGGCACAGACAAAGGGAGAAAGAATATTTGATTATTACAGTGTTTCAGGCATCCATGCATGCTTTTGCCATTATAAAAATGGTTACATACCTATTCGGTAATTGTTGTTCTTTAAGATGCATTGTACATGTCCATACCACTTTAGGCAAAACTTGTTAGGGCAGCACATGTGACCTCTGCACGCTTCTGCTGCTAGCTGAAAGTATAACAATATGGAGTTTCCCTGACTCCTCCCTCAGTTCCTTCACACTGGAAGCAAGTAATTGCTGTACCTCCAATGTACAAGGGAAGGAGGAAAGGTCGTGGAAAGAACACATGAACAATAGTTCTCAAAGAACAATAGTTACTGAACAAGTACGGAACCGTGTTTTCTTCTTTGCGTGACTGCACATGTCCATTTCACTTTAGGTGGCTAACAGGAGTCTGATGGAGGAGTGTATCAGAGTCTACTTAAACAAGGACTGCAGCACCACTCTCCCAAACTTAGCATTGTACCTAGAGGCCTGGAAGAGAGCATATTGAGCAACGAACATATGAGCAGATGACCAAGAGACAGTCTTGCAAATGTCACTGATGGGAACATGACCCAGGAAAGCAGCCAAAGCTGCTTGACCTCTTGTAGAGCGTGCTAAAACACTTTGAGGTCGTGGACCATTGGCAATATCATTACAAGGATGGGGGAGGGAGGAGATCCAGGAAGAGATCTTCTGTGATGTAACGGGCTATCCTTTCACCCTATCAGCAGAGGCGGCTAATAACTGCAGTGTCCTAAACTCTTTAGTCCTGTCCAGGCAGGAAGCCACAGCTCTGCAAACATCTAAGTATGGAGCTTTTCCTCAACTTTGCATGAGTGAGGTTTGGAGGGAAAAAGTTGATAAGTAAAGTCTGATGCATATGAAAATCCAAAAGCACTTTCGAGAGAAATTTAGGGTGTTGATGCAAACCAACTTTGTCCTTGTAAAATAATATCTAAGGAAGGTCAGCCATCAAAGCCTAAAGTTCTCCTGGCCAAAGTAATAGCTACCTGGCATGCTACATTCATCAAGAGGTGAAACAATGAGCATGTAGCAATAGGTTCAAAGGGGGCCCCATTAAAACTGAGAGAACCAAATTTAGCTTCCAGGATGGAGGTGGGTCTCAAATACATGGGAAAAGCCTACCCAAACCTTTCAAGAACTTTATAGTTATAGGGTTGAAGAAAACAGCATTCCACTATCCTATAGATGAAAGGGTTAAGATAGCAGCCAGATTAACCCGCAGGGCACTGACAGAAAGACATTTCTCCTTTACGTGAAGCAAGTAATGAAGAATAAACTGAATAGGAACCCATAAATGAAAGGTATCTTTCTGCTGGGACCACACAGAAAACATCTTCCATTTTATGAAGTGTACCTAGTGGAGGGCTTTCCGCTATCAAAAGAATGTTTCAAATTGCAATAGAACAAGTAGTTAACTACTGAGTAGTTAACCACTGAACATAACCAATCAGGTTCAGGCTAAGAGGGTTGGGATGCAGTTTGGCCATGGTTCTGGGACACTATGTCTGGGACCCGAGGAAGGATTATGGCAAGGGTGGCCAACCTGTGGCTCTGGGGCCACATGCAGCTCTTCAGAAGTTAATATGCAGCTCCTTATATAGGCACCTACTCTGGGCGTGGAGCTACAGGTGTGCTCACTGCTCAACCCCTGGCTCTGCCCCCACTCCACCCCTTCTTGCCCCATCCCCTGAGCCTGCAGTGCCCTCGCTCCTCCCTCTCCTCACCAAAGCCTCCTGCCCCCCACAAAACAGCTGATCAGGAGGTGCGGGGAGGGTGGGGGAGGCACTGATCAGCGGGACTGCCGGTAGGCGGGAGGAGCTGGGAGTGGGGGGCGGGAGCTGATGGGGTGCTGCTGATGTATTACTGTGGCTCTTTGGCAATGTACATTGGTAAATTCTGGCTCCTTCTCAGGCTCAGGTTGGCTATCCCTGGATTATGGGATTTCAAACTGAAAGGTTTAACAGGTCTGAAAACCAATGCTATCAAGGCCAGGCTGCTGCTATCAGAATTAAACAGCATGATCTTGCCTGAGTTTGCCCACCACTCTCAGCACCACAGGGACTTGGGGGTGTGGGAGGGAAGCATTAAAAAGTTTCCCCTTTCAGGATAGTAGAAAGGCATCTGATACACACCTTGAACCAACACTCATCCTGAAACAGAACTGGTGACATTTCCTGTTCTGTCAGGTAATAACCATGTCCATTTCTGGCATTCCCCATATCTGAAAAATGGACTCTGCTATGTCAGGTCTGAGGGGACCATTTGTAATCTCTTCTGAACAATCTCCTGAAATGGTGCACTAGACAGTTCTGAGACCCAGGAAGGTGAGCTGTTTTGAGCATAATTGTGTTCTTGATGCAAAAAGACCAGAGGTTCATTGCTTCTTGGCAAAAGAGGTCTGATCTGGTACCTACATGCTTGTTAAGGCAGAACATAGCAGCAGTGTTGTCTGAGTACTTGTATGGAACAAGCCACAATGTGGGAAAGAAAAGGAGAAAAATGCATCCGATGAAGTGAGCTGTAGCTCACGAAAGTTTATGCTCAAATAAATTTGTTAGTCTCTGAGGTGCCACAAGTACTCCTTTTCTTTTTGCGAATACAGACTAACACAGCTGCTACTCTGAAATGTGGGAAAGAAATATTTAACAGGCCCCAAAATTACTGCAATAAAAATCAAATAACCCAGAGACAACATAAATACAACAAGAACTAACTGACCTCCCCATATAGATCATATAGCACTATTATCCAGCCCTACCAAACCCTGCACATGCTAACAAATTCGGGATATTACAGCCCTGATAAGGAAGCATGTTCCAAAGGTCTAGAGAGTACCCTGCCAGCTGCCCCCTATGCCCATGGAACTAAAATAGCTCTTGTTCATATCAAATGTTTGTTACACGACTCCTATTTAAATAAAACCATTTTTGTGCTTCGTTATATTTAAAAATAAACCTTACAAATGTTATAAAAGAGTGAAACAAAAATTAGATCCATTAAAATAGAAACCTTTTTCCTTTAAATATTCAGTTCCATCCAGTCCCTAAATCAACACAGTAAGTCTGCATCTAACTTTAAGCGCTATAGAAGTGTCACTGAAGTCAATAGGCATGAGTTAAGGCTTAACTGAAAATATTATCTAGATATATTTTGCAGCAATAACCGATACACAGAACAATCTGCTATAAGGAGACTTTCTGTACTTAGGAAGCCTGCTTGCATTATATTTTATAGCTTTCGGCTTTAAAATTATTGTTCTATGTATGAAAAATACAGGTGACTATATTTAAATGCATTTTTAGAAAAAAATTAGAAGAGCAGGGGCGGGGAAGGGAGAAAGCCACTCTAAAAAATATTCCAAGCTCCAGTTATTTGTAATTACGTTCCAGAAATAAAATCAATTATTTTGGTTCTTTTCTGGCCACCTCCTGTAAGGAGCCTCCCTTCTACTCTACTTTCTTCTCATCCTCCCCAGCATGACTGGATAAATTCAGATATGTACAGTAGCAGTGAAAATTAGGTAAACTGTACATTTTTAAAATAATCCTTACCCGTGCTAAAAGTGTAAAACCTGCATCCGTCAGGTGGGAACATCTTGCAGCTTCCAAAATCCTGAAAAAATAATTGTTTTCAACATAAAAATATTACTGATACAGTAATGAAAAGCAATTATTTCTTTTTATTTCAATATATTGTCAATATATTGTAACATAAAACTGATTTAGAACCAAAGTCCATTTTCATAGTATTTTGCAATTTTAAAAAAGGCAGGACTAATTTTTGATTTAGCTAATCAGAAAGATGCTATGTAACATAGCACAATTAAATTATGTACAATTAAAAATTATACCTATGGACATCTGTAAAGAAAAAAATTTACAGTGAATTCTTGTACTTCTAAGGCTATGTATATACTTATTGTAATTCTAAAACTGTATTTGGAAAAATACCATTTTCACTGCATATCTTATTCCCGATACACAAAGAAATAAATGCATTAGACAGTTTGTTGAGTTTGTATATTGTGGAAGAGTACAGAAAGAGTATAGGGAGGAATTTAGGAAAGTGCAGGTCAAGCCTTCACAATGTGCCTCCAATGTTCTATTTATTGTCAAGTTCTTACATTAAGTATTTTGGCTTCAGGTATCAGAAAGCAAGGAGACAAACAGCTGTCAAAACCAAAACGTAAAGCCAAACCTACCTGATTCAATCTTCCAGAAACAGATATAGAAATATATTGGGAAAAAACTCATTACCTGAGAAGCAGTCCCTTAGGAGAGGTGTGAGTGAAGTAAGATAAGAGAAAAAAGGAAACTATGACAAACAATACCAGTACGTATAGTTTTCATTGTAGTACTTCCGCTCTTCCCTTGTTCAAGTTTACACTAAGCAGATGGTAGTGAGTAGCGAGACTAACAAGGAGAGAATGTCACAGAGTAACCACGTGCACAAACTCTCCCATTCAACACGACAGCCATTTTCTTTATGTTTGACACACAAATTCATAAAGGAGAGATAAAGGAAATAGACTAAGAGACTGCTGATTTAGATTTCTCAGTATAAACTAGCATAGGTATCAAAGCTTAGAGGTAGGCTATCAAAATGTGCCTTTCTACCATAATGCATTACACATCTAGTTTTCAAAGTGCTAACCATAAAGCACTATTCAGAAATGCCTCAAAATCTCATCTCCCTCTCAGTAGGGTCACTGAGTAAATACTCTCTTAGTACAGAAACCCTCTTCTGTCAGTAGGGTTATATTGAACATCCATATGACCTTCATAGGCTTCTCAGGCCCACATTCTTCTTCAAGTGATGGTCCTTACATGATTCCAAACATGGGTGCGCAGTTTTTGTAGTAGTTTGCGTTGACCTGCACATCAATGTGGGTCATCCACATGCTCGCATCTGAGGCGATCAGAGGCCGTGAAGGTTGACACCGCTCCAGTTCCCTCTTATCGTCGCATGGCCAGAGTCAGAATCCCTGTTCCTCAGTGCTCCTAGCCTTGCTAAAAGACACGCTTGGCTGTTTTTCCAGTAGCTAGAGTTGTATATAGTTGTTTATAGTGTAGATATTATTGTTTAGATTCCTAGGTGATTAGTATCCTCATTGAACCCTTCCCCCATCAGGGAGATCCTCCCTCCAGGGATTATGCCCTGGCAACCAGCTTCAAAACCTGTGCTTCTTGCCTGCATTCCTTCTCTGTGAGTGACAAGCACCAACGGTGCCTCTACTGCCTCAGCAAAGCTCAAGTCATCACCTGCTGCTCCATCTGCTGCTCATTTCTGCTCAGAATGAGAGAAGTGAGAGAACTTCGCCTTCATAGCTTTCTAATGGAGGAGCTTATGTGCGCACATGCACAGTCAGATCCAGACTGGCAGATCTGCCGGAATGACTCCCATCACCACCAATGAGTGCCCCTCCATCTTCGTCCAAGGCGCCAAACCCAGGGGTACCGCCGCAGCAGCCCACTGTGAGCTTAAGAAACACGGACATGGGCATAAAGTTGGCTCCCCAACAGGGACTGCCCCTAACCATAGTGTTGCCTTCCTGAGCCATGCCAAGTCGGGTGAGAAGTCATGCACCGACCCAAACTGCTCCAGCTCCCAAGAAACCCCAGAGAGAGCATAAGTTGAAGTACCGATCCGATCCGCTGGTGTCGCCTCCAGCCGTGGTCACTGGTCCGGCTTCCTCATCACTTCTGGCACCATTGATGATGCCAGGCCCCTCCAGGCCACCATGCATAGGTCCCTGCGCACCTGGAACCACTGATGCCTACTGCGGAGCTGTTGCTCCCATATGTTCCCAGGTTCCCCGCGTCACCACCGAGCTCCCTTCTCTGGTGGATGAACCCCTCCTTCTTTTCCCAGCACAATGCATATCTTCCACCCACCTTGCACCGGCGGCTCTGCCCCATTGGACCCGTCCTCCAACTCAGAGGACTTTTCAGAGCTGGATTCCCTCATTCTCACCTGCACATATCCCAGGCACCGACCATCCTATCTACTGGTGTATGACCTTACTTCCAACACATGGCTCCACTATCCCTGGTGCCTGCCAATGCCTGCCAACCTGTACACTTGGCCTCACTGGCCTTCTTGGGACTGTTACCAGGACTGTGGACTACCACTGGTAGCCTCTTACCAACCTTCCCCGGCCACACACCAGGCTTTTCTCAGTTGACAACAAACCAGAGGATGCTACAGTACAGCCGGTACTATCCGTACCACCGGTCCCACTGTAGCCTCGTTGTCACCGGACGAGGCACTAATTCTGCCTTCCTTTTCCCTGCTGGATGACCATAAACAATACCACAACGTGCTTCAGCAGCTCTTGGCCTCCTAGTGGAGGAAGATCAGGACACATTAAACCAGGTCCAGAATATCCTGAAACTGCCGGGACCCTCCCGCACTGCCCTCCACATCCATGAAGCCATGCTGCAACCAGCACAGTTGGTCTGGCATACACTGGTATACACCCTACTCCTTTAAGCAGCAGAGTGATGCTACTTCGTCTCATCGAAAGGAACAGACTTCCTTTTCACTCACCCACCCCCAACTCACTGGCGGTTCACGTGGCGATGGAATGCACTCACCAACAACACCTGAAGTCCACCCTTACACACACTCACAAAACCCCAGACAGAGCGGCGAAGAAGCTGGACCAGTCCTGCATCACCAATTACGAGGCCATGTTGGCAAAGTACAACTTTCTCACGTACTCCAAACTTTCATAGTTTCAGGGTTTTCTTCTGCCAGACAAACAACATGAGTTCCAGACACTATTTGATGAGGGCAAACTGGTTACTAAGGTGAGCCTCCAGGCAGTGGGTGATGCTGCTGACATCACCTCACGCTCCCTGGTGACCGGAGTCATACTCCGACATGAATCCTTGCTCCAATTGTCCAGACCTCTCTTGAGGACCTCCCCTTCAATAACCAGAAACTTTTTAGTGACAGGACGGAAGAGTCCCTGCACTCACTCAAAGGCTCTCGTGCCCCTCTGCAGTCATTTGGCATTTACACCCCAGACTCTTCCCTCTCTACTTCCAAAGACAACAAGTGCTATCATGACATCAGCAGCATGCTCAATAGCCCCATTACTCTGCCACTACAACCTCTGCTCTCTCAACCCTCCTGCTATGTCAGTCTAAGCAACAATTTTGACACTCTCACCAAGATCCGTAAATGTCTCCCTACCCCTCCGTCTTGCCCTCTTTCCCCACAATTGGGGCAAGACCATCACAGACCACTGGGTACTGGACATCATTCACCAGGGGTACTCTATAGAATTCCTCTTTCCCCTCCCCCCCGCTGGCTGTGGAGATCTTCTCTGAGAGGAAGCAGATGCCCTTCTCATTGGAAGTTTCTCCACTTTATGGTTGGTCACTCCCACTGTCAGTTCCATGACCTTCCCTTCGGTATCACCACCAATCCATATGTATTCACAAAAGTCTTCCCCATTGTCACAGCCCACATGCTATGCCTCCGCCACTCCGGGTTTCCCTGCCTAGACAACTGGCTCCTACTGGCCAGGTGGTTAGGTGGTATAGGTGGTTAACAACCATTAATGAAAGGTCTAAGTGTGTGAGAGAGAGCACTGTATGGCTACACCTGCCATTGTCATATGCAGTTGAACAGGAAACACAAACTATTCCCCCCTTTTCAGCTAAAGTATAGTAGATCATTGAGGCAACCACCTCCTCTGAGCTATCCAGACTCTTTGCGATATTTATTTATTTATTGGGGCATGCCTGGACACTCTGGTGGGCCAGGCTTTCCTCCTGGCAGATCGGTTTACCATCTTTACTTCTCGCATCACTTCACGCCACAAACCACACACCTGCATCCACGAATGCCTCTCTCTCCTCGATCACATGGCAGCCTGCACCTCTATAATTCCCTATGCCCACCTCCATATGCACTGCCTTCAACTATAGATCAGATCAACCTACAAACCGCAGACAGACCCCTTGGACAAGTCCGTCCCTCTCCTCTGTTTCATCCTGGCCTCCCTCACCTGGCAGACTGACTTGCCCAAGGTACTGATAGGCACCCTGTTACACCTCCTGCCTCCTGCACCACTCTAACTATGGACACCCCCTTACAGGTTGGGGTGCCCACCTGGATGCTCATACGGCCCAGGGCCTCTGGACACTAAGAGTGGCCAGGATGCATATCAACATCCTGGTTTTGTGAGCTGTCCATTTTGCCTGTCAGGCATTCCTTCCTCTTACACAATCACATCACATTCAACTGCTATCCGACAACATGGTGGCAATTTTATATATCAACAAGCAAGGCAGTGCCAGATTGCCCCCTCTGTGTGTGGAGGCCATCCAACTCTGGAACTGATGTATCAGATAAAATGTCATGATACAGGACATGTACTTTCCAGGCGCCAGCAACTCCCTTGCGGACATGCTCGGCAGGTCATGCTCAGCGGGTCCTTCTATGCTAACCACGAGTGGGAACTACACAATCCCACACTATGCTCAGAATTCCACTGCTGGGGCACCTGGCGTCGGGACCTGTTTGTGACCAACAGGAACCAAAACGTCCCCCTCTTTTGTTCCAGAGCAACACTTGGGATAGACTCACAGGGCAATGAC